ATGTATTTCTGGTGACGCTGTTGAGACTCGCAGTCTCTGTGAGAGATTATATAGTGAGAAATCAAAACAAATAAGCATAACAGCACACATCATAACTCACAGAAGAAACACTGAGGTAAAAATCCCAAAAAAAATATTTATAACATGATATAGTTAAGTAACATAACATGACGGGAGCTATTTTGATGAAGATTCTCACGATTGCAAATGTAACATTGATTTTAGTTCAATAAACAAGTAGTTAATATTATATTACTTCAATTGACCGTTCGCAAAGACCCGCCCCCCCTTAGTTACTGTCGCTATGTCCGACAAGCTACGCTGCTCTCACACACACACACACACACACACACCATGTTCTCACGCAGTGAAAAATACATCGCGGACTGACAACACGCTGACAGACAGGACAGACCAGGTTACTTTTCGGTTACTTCTGATATTAAACAACATATTAAGCAAAGTCTCACCTTTCAAAAGTTGGTCATTTTTTTAAAGAAATTTAATTTACTGTCACCGTCCCGTATACGGGACGCCTAAGTTTACTTCACTATATTACAATTAAATCCTAATTTAATCATGACAAACTATATATCGTTGGAAAGGTCTAAGAGTCCTTAATAGATATTTCAGCAATGTATTTTGTTACAAATTATGTAGGAACAGAAATAGATGAATTTATGACAAGAGTGCACCTCAAAAAATCTACATAATAATAGTTCTGACCTTTGTCACAAAAAGTCAACGCACACACTTTTAATAATTGAAATGTTGGTTTTCATGCAAAAATTTCATAAGAAAACATATAATCTAGTATTTGTCAATAAAAAAAATGATAAAATAATATTATCTTCTAAAAAGTATAATATATATATATTATCCTCTAAAATATAATATTATCTTTTTCATCGCCTTTTTGTATTACATTACATATTTCAGTAGTTATCATAAATTAGGTATCATTTGAAAGCTTACGATCTCAGAATTCATCCTGTGAAAACTGTTTTGAAATTGGACATTGTGTTACCATAGAAACGGTACTCTAAATTATTTTATCAGGCTCCTCCCCTTTTGGGCATCATTATATTTCATAATTTATTATCAAAATATTTTCTAATCTTGACAAAACACATATTGTCAGAAAGGTCTGAGACAAGTCTCAAGGTTCCATATTTTGTGACAGAAGTGATATTTGGACAGAAATTTATCAATTTGTTATGGCAGAATGCATACAGTTAAATTCAATGGAATTCAATGACACACGGTGGCTTTTTTTGGTATTACGCCTAAACAAAATCTCATGGGAACTTCAATTTTTGTGATATCAACTTCAAATTTGGAACACAACTTGGTTAGATATATGGCTTTGATTTTATATTAATTTTATAGTAAAAATATTTTGTAAAATATTTATTTTATATAAAAGAAGAAATATAAAATAAATTATATTTGATTTAATGTAAATTTAAACTTCAATAACTTTGTCATACTTAAAAATTTTTTAAGTGCTTTCACTTCAGAAATAATCTGCTATTTTTTCCCTTTAAAAAAAGACCAAACTTAGGTCTATACTCCAAAGCATTCTTGAATTACAACCATTTAAGCTTGAATAGTGCATTTCAATGTCCATTCTCAAAAAGGGGGGTGACAGCGAAGGGGTTAAACAATAAATACCGTTTTGTGGCTCTTTAATGTGTCGTGACAGATCGCTGTAGAGCCTCAGTTAAAGCTGCTCGTGATCCGATCATCTCTTCCTTCTAGTTCATTTATAGCATCAAATAAACATGAATGAACATCAGAAGGAATGTTGTTTTAGTCGCAGAAAGGCGTCAGTACACTCCGCTTCTCAAGTTCAAATCCTCCCATGTTAATCTACTAACTCTCCTGTTGGGAACCTTACTTTAAAAAAGTAATTAGTTATAGTTACTCACTACTTGTTCCAAAAAGAGTTAGTAACTGAATTACTCTATAATAAAAGTAACTCGTTACCAGGGAAAGTTACTATTTGCGTTACTGTTAAAAAAAATGTTGCTATATGTCAAAGAATTTTGATTTTTTTTTTAGCAGTTTTCACAAGTCAGTTGAAATGAGTAGAACAGACAGGTGTTTGTACATAACTTTCTATATGTATTGCACGTCGACACGACAGTTTATCCTGCACTTCACTTCACTGCACTTATTAACCCACCTCCTCACTAGCTGTGTGAGCCAGGGGTGCGTTCGGATTACACAGTTTTTTCAATCAATACATAGTAGCTAACGCACAAAAACGCACTCGCGATTTTGTCACGAGTCATTTTGTACCCACCACTTTTAGAAACAAATAAATAAAACATCTCCAGTTAACTAGCAGAGCATTCATTTAGTTCGCTATTAAATAAGAGATCTAGCGTTACATTTTTTGGTTTTGAACTCAAGCTGAGCGCTCGTTGCCGCGGCTGCATTTGTTCTCTTGTGGCGCGCGCGCAGTATTCACTCGGACGCGCTCTTCAATCTATCGCCATTGTGGAGACTATTCATTCCGGTGAAATCACAAAATAAAATGCACTCAACCGTCCCGTGTCCCTGCTTGATATAGACTGTAACCACTGATGAACATATTCAGTTTTGATGAGAGAAAAAAAAAAACCTATTTGAGTGTGGATTAGAACCTGTAACCTCTGAAACACATGGCAAAAGTTTTACCACTAGACCATTTAAGAACTCACACAATAGTACTCCTGAAAATGCACTTCCAAATGCGTCTCTGTCCCCAGCACATTTCAAACCAAACTGACCGTGGTAACGCATCGCATTTAACGTCCAGTAATGTTAACGGCGTTGTAACGACGGGAAAAGTAATTAGTTAGATTACCTCGTTACTGAAAAAATAACGTTGTTACCCAACGCCGTTCTTTTAAACGGCGTTATTCCAAACACTGCTCCTGACTGCTTTGTCGGACAAAATGGCGGATGGCGAAGTATGATTGGTCAGATCACCTGTCAATCAAGCTCCCTGCGAAGGGTCAATTACTTAAAATATTACATAAACGTTTGTAATATAATGTGCATTTCCATCACAGGTTTGGTCTTAAATTTAATTCAAAGTGGCATTAAAAAGGTCTTAAAAAGTCTTAAATTTAATTTGTTTACATCTTTAGACAGTCTGATAAATCATAACTTTTGGCTTTTTGCGTTCCCAAATGCACGTTTTTGGAAACCTAAACAAACAAGTGTTGACTGTGAACGGATCTGAGCTACTTTAACATGTAATCTGCAGAAAACGAGGAAAACGCTACGCTTGAGCTAACAGTTTGTGAATAGGCTTCTACAAATGATGGCCGTGAATAACATATCATATTCAGAAGTGAACAGTGTAGCTGACTTAATGTTAGGCTGACAGAGTTTTTGTGTCAGAGTTTTTATTTTTAAACCACAACCTTCTAAGTGCTTCTTTTACCGATATATTTAACGACATCTTTTGCATTTCTTATCCAAACAACGTCAAACTCGGCACTGCACTTACTCGTGCCCGTAGCAAGACACCCGTCAAGTGTGAAATCCATCAGACTAACGGTTCGAGAGATATGCCAATAACACACACACACACACACACACAGACGTTCCTGTAATTTATAAATAGATGCTTTTAAAAGGTTTTAATATTTATCGCGTAGCCTTAGAAAACGGTGTAATAATGTAATAATGTATAACGGTGTAATAATGCGGTTCATGATTCTCGTCTGTGGAACGGTTACTCGACACGGGGAAATTACAATCGAGGGTTTTTTAATATCGGATACTCGAGTTTAATTGACGAATCGTGACAGCCCTGGATAATGTTACAGGGTTCCGACGCAGTCTGGAAAAGTATGAATTTTGATTTGAGTAATTTCCAGGTCTGGATAAGTTTCGAAAAGAGAAAACTTAACACGGAGACACCACTTATTGCCCCTATTCAGTTTTCTGAAATATTATAAGTGCATGTTATCACTTGGAAAAATCCAATGAAAGAAAGAAAAGGAAATGAAATGGCTGTACTTTATACCAAATATAAGCTGGAAATAATGCTGAATGCATTAATTATGTTAAATGTGGTCTGAAAAATCAAGAGATTTGGAAATTTAAGTCTGGAAGATGTGTAGGAACCTTGATATTCCTGGGTTCTGTCTGTTTGTGGTCATGTGACATGTCATGTTGTGTGTGTGCTCGTCCTCATCAGACACGAACGAGTGTGAGCTGGGGAACCCGTGTGGGAACGGCACCTGCACAAACGTGGAGGGAGCGTTCGAGTGCAGCTGCGACGAGGGCTTCGAGCCCGGACCCATGATGACCTGTGAAGGTCAGTGACCTGATGATGATGATGATGTACTTCCTGTCATAACAATAGCCATAACTATAACAATATATAGCAACAACACTACTGATAATGATAGCTGGATTTGCTGTCCGCCCGACGCCGTCCACACCACCCAATCAAACTGAGTGCTAGTGTGTACTTGATTAAAACATGTGACATGTTTGCAGATGTAAACGAGTGTTCCCAGAATGCTCTGCTGTGTGCATTCCGCTGTGTCAACACGGTGGGGTCGTATGAATGCAGATGTCCAGCGGGATACGTGCTGAGAGAAGACCGGCGGATGTGCAAAGGTAAAGACGAGCGCTTTCACCGGCACACACACACACACACACACACACACACACACATTATTAGGGGTGCAACAGGTTTTCAGTCCGTGCTGTCGGTCTTAAAGTGACAGTAGCCTAATATTCCTCCTGTTGTCTGTGTCATTAATATTAATAAAACAGCAAAATACACAGCTTTAACAAAGATTAAACTATATTTAATTTCTACAGTGAACAAATAGTTAGGTTTAATTATTAATTTCTGTTCCTCAATACTACTGTTAGACTTTGTAACTTTCTTATTTAGTGTTCATCTTTGCTTGTAACTTCTTATTTTATGAATGTTTGAAGTTTATCAGATTTTTTTCTTTATTCTTTTGCTGATCCGAAAAACTATCCGATTCGTGACTCAAAAAACGTAAATGATCCGAACCGTGAATGTTTGTGATCGGTTGCACCTCTACATATCGTGGGCTTAACCCTTCACAACCTGGAGCGAAAATAGGTGTTTTTCTCACATTTTGCTTTTTTGACAGTAAAATACTAAAACAATGTGATATCTTCATGTGCAAGGGGTCATCTTTTTCAGAAAAAGATTAGCTTTCAACAAATTTCAACAAGTTTTTGACCATTATTGTGTGTGGTGAGTTTGTAAATAGAATTTAAATAGACAAAAATAAAAAAAGAGAATAAATTTACTGATTTTTATTTAGAAAAAAAAGAGAAAAATCATGAACGAAAGAAAGAAACTAACACTTTAAAGTTGAAAAATGAACTATAATACATGCATACAAGTCTTTTTTGTGACATTGGGTTGCACAGTTTTCATTTAGGACAGCTTATGAAAACCTTTTCACAATATTCTAATTTTGAATTTGGGGTTTTCATAAGCTGTAAGCCATAATCATCAACATTATAACAAATAAAGGCTTGAAATATCTCACTTTGCATGTAATGAGTCTATATAATATATTAGTTTCACCTTTTAAGTTGAATTACCACACAAACTTTTGCACGATATTCAAATTTTTCAAGTTTCGCCTGTATTTGTTCGTTTCTTGTATTATTTTATGCAATCCAAAACACTCTAACGCACCTCGTATCTCTCTGTTCAAATCCTTCCTTCCCGCTCTGCCAGAAAGCTGCTGTTATTTGCTGACGGAAAGCATGAAATTACCATAATATGTAAATAAATGTTGTCTACTGTCAGGGGCCATTTGAATGGTTTTGATAGTGCAAACGGTTGAGTTACGGTAAAATGAATACAGCTTCGGCCGGTTCTGAAGGGTTAACCCGCTTGTGTTCCTCAGACCAGAACGAGTGTGAGGACGGGCTGGACGACTGCGCCTCCAGAGGGATGACCTGTAAGAATCTGATCGGCACGTACATGTGCATCTGCTCGCCGGGATACACCAGACCGCCCAATGGAGACAGCTGCGTGGGTGAGCCACACACACACACACACACACACAGGCGCTCACATCAGCGCTCACAGTCCTGACGGGTGTGTTTGTGTGCAGATCTGAACGAATGCACGGCCAAGCCTGGCATCTGTGAGAACGGGCGCTGCGAGAACACAGTGGGGAGTTACCGGTGCGTCTGTGATCAGGGCTTCAGCCCCAGTCCCAGCAGAACCGACTGCATCGGTAAGAGTGTGAGCTCACCGGCACCAACCACACGGGTCCATGCCGAACATCGAGCTCACGTCAGTGACGCTCAGCTGATCCTCTACTGTAGGAATACGACCCCTATCACTGAACTCATATATAAGCTCGTCAGTATTAGCAGCTGCTATCTCGTTTCTCAGGAGTGATTACCCCCCCCCCCCTCCGGTCCAGTCAGGGTTTGGCATTCTCATTCCCCCTGAATCAGACTAAATTCTCTAATTATGTTGTACATTAAAATATTGACATTAATGATATCTGCAATACTGTTCACCCTAAGCGGGGTTATTGCTGCTCTTATCCATGCTAGGCTGTTCTCTCCCACAACAGAACCAGACCGCCAATCCAAACTGTATGCTAACTGTCAATCATATTTGACGATAGTGGTCCTGACAGAAATGATTCTTCTAAAACTCCATGACATCCAGTCGACATACATTGGTTAAGCTATCATCTAAATCGCACTGTATGTTAATGATCGTGTTTCTTTTGCCAATAACAGCCGCTGTGTGTGTGTGTGTGTGTGTGTGTGTTAGATAACCGTCAGGGCTTCTGCTTCCTGGAGGTTCTCCAGACCATGTGTCAGATGAGTTCCAGCAGTCGGGTCAGCGTTAGGAAGTCCGAGTGCTGTTGTGACGGGGGCCGAGGCTGGGGGCCAAACTGTGAGATCTGCCCTTTACCCGGAACCACACACTACAGGAAGATGTGTCCACTGGGACACGGATACACCACTGACGGCCAGGGTAACACACACACACACTACAGGAAGATGTGTCCACTGGGACACGGATACACCACTGACGGCCAGGGTAACACACACACACACTACAGGAAGATGTGTCCACTGGGACACGGATACACCACTGACGGCCAGGGTAACACACACACACACTACAGGAAGATGTGTCCACTGGGACACGGATACACCACTGACGGCCAGGGTAACACACACACACACTACAGGAAGATGTGTCCACTGGGACACGGATACACCACTGACGGCCAGGGTAACACACACACACACACACACACTACAGGAAGATGTGTCCACTGGGACACGGATACACAACTGACGGCCAGGGTAACACACACACACACTACAGGAAGATGTGTCCACTGGGACACGGATACACCACTGACGGCCAGGGTAACACACACACACACACACACACTACAGGAAGATGTGTCCACTGGGACACGGATACACCACTGACGGCCAGGGTAACACACACACACACTACAGGAAGATGTGTCCACTGGGACACGGATACACCACTGACGGCCAGGGTAACACACACACACACTACAGGAAGATGTGTCCACTGGGACACGGATACACCACTGACGGCCAGGGTAACACACACACACACACACACACTACAGGAAGATGTGTCCACTGGGACACGGATACACCACTGACGGCTAGGGTAACACACACACACACTACAGGAAGATGTGTCCACTGGGACACGGATACACCACTGACGGCCAGGGTAACACACACACACACTACAGGAAGATGTGTCCACTGGGACACGGATACACCACTGACGGCCAGGGTAACACACACACACACTACAGGAAGATGTGTCCACTGGGACACGGATACACCACTGACGGCCAGGGTAACACACACACACACACACACACACACACTACAGGAAGATGTGTCCACTGGGACACGGATACACCACTGACGGCCAGGGTAACACACACACACACACACACACACACACTACAGGAAGATGTGTCCACTGGGACACGGATACACCACTGACGGCCAGGGTAACACACACACACACACACACTACAGGAAGATGTGTACACTGGGACACGGATACACCACTGACGGCCAGGGTAACACACACACACACTACAGGAAGATGTGTCCACTGGGACACGGATACACCACTGACGGCCAGGGTAACACACACACACACACACACACTACAGGAAGATGTGTCCACTGGGACACGGATACACCACTGACGGCCAGGGTAACACACACACACACACACACACACACTACAGGAAGATGTGTTCACTGGGACACGGATACACCACTGACGGCCAGGGTAACACACACACACACACACACACTACAGGAAGATGTGTCCACTGGGACACGGATACACCACTGACGGCCAGGGTAACACACACACACACACACACACTACAGGAAGATGTGTCCACTGGGACACGGATACACCACTGACGGCCAGGGTAACACACACACACACTACAGGAAGATGTGTCCACTGGGACACGGATACACCACTGACGGCCAGGGTAACACACACACACACACACACACTACAGGAAGATGTGTCCACTGGGACACGGATACACCACTGACGGCCACGGTAACACACACACACACACACACACTACAGGAAGATGTGTCCACTGGGACACGGATACACCACTGACGGCCAGGGTAACACACACACACACTACAGGAAGATGTGTCCACTGGGACACGGATACACCACTGACGGCCAGGGTAACACACACACACACACACACACTACAGGAAGATGTGTCCACTGGGACACGGATACACCACTGACGGCCAGGGTAACACACACACACACACACACACACACTACAGGAAGATGTGTCCACTGGGACACGGATACACCACTGACGGCCAGGGTAACACACACACACACTACAGGAAGATGTGTCCACTGGGACACGGATACACCACTGACGGCCAGGGTAACACACACACACACACACACACACTACAGCAAGATGTGTTCACTGGGACACGGATACACCACTGACGGCCAGGGTAACACACACACACACACACACTACAGGAAGATGTGTCCACTGGGACACGGATACACCACTGACGGCCAGGGTAACACACACACACACACACACTACAGGAAGATGTGTCCACTGGGACACGGATACACCACTGACGGCCAGGGTAACACACACACACACACTACAGGAAGATGTGTCCACTGGGAGACGGATACACCACTGACGGCCAGGGTAACACACACACACACACACTACAGGAAGATGTGTCCACTGGGACACGGATACACCACTGACGGCCAGGGTAACACACACACACACACACACTACAGGAAGATGTGTCCACTGGGACACGGATACACCACTGACGGCCAGGGTAACACACACACACACACACACACACACACACTACAGGAAGATGTGTCCACTGGGACACGGATACACCACTGACGGCCAGGGTAACACACACACACACACACACACTACAGGAAGATGTGTCCACTGGGACACGGATACACCACTGACGGCCAGGGTAACACACACACACACACACACACTACAGGAAGATGTGTCCACTGGGACACGGATACACCACTGCGGCCAGGGTAACACACACACACACACACACACACACACACACACTACAGGAAGATGTGTCCACTGGGACACGGATACACCACTGACGGCCAGGGTAACACACACACACACACACACACTACAGGAAGATGTGTCCACTGGGACACGGATACACCACTGACGGCCAGGGTAACACACACACACACACACACACTACAGGAAGATGTGTCCACTGGGACACGGATACACCACTGCGGCCAGGGTAACACACACACACACACACACACTACAGGAAGATGTGTCCACTGGGACACGGATACACCACTGACGGCCAGGGTAACACACACACACACACACACACTACAGGAAGATGTGTCCAC